ACAAAGTAGTCATGGGTTTGGACAAAAATCATGTAATCTTGAAGCATCAGCACTATTCCAAAACAGCAGGAGTGAGCCTTGTAATTTGCTTGCTACTTGTCTGAATTTCTAGCTAGTTTAAATGTAGTTTTCTGACTGAGTATGGAATATGTAGTCACCATGAGGAACTTGGTCAAGGGTTTCCTAGGCACTTTGAATTTGTTGGAAAAGGGGATAAGCAGTTAACAATGTGTTTACTTACTCCTATAAAAAACAATACCAACAAATAAGCAACATTAGAATTCAGTGATGTATGAGATCAACATCTACTCACTGTTGCATTTGAATTCATGCTTAAAAAGAGTACACAAATGAAATAAGGCACTCCATTGTTTAGTCATTTAAACTTTTTTGTGAATAGGGAGAAATAGGTTCTGGCATATTGATAACTTCTGGCAGTTTTCACGTATGCATAAAAGGCCTGATGCATGCATGTAGACCTCACAGCACTTACAGACAAGAAAGAAAATCTTCCTGTTTTATAGACTTCTTTCTGGAGATCTTCAGGATGAGCTTCAAAGCTAACAAATGAAGAAAATTCCCTTCTTCCTGACTTCTTCCATGCGGTTCACACATTACTGCTTTCAAATTTATTCTCAGCTTACACACAACAGTTTGAACAAGAATGTATTATCACTACCACCAACAACAAAAACAAAAACAGGAAACTTTTTACCTGTCCCTTCATTCCTACCTGTGAACTTGAGAATCTTATACTTGGAAGAACAGAAAGTTTAGATCAAGGTTTGCCAACTAGATTTAGGTTTTGTTATTCCTTTTTAAAAGATGCTTTATTAGGCATTATTGAGTTTATTCAGTTTGTCTTTTCATGAGGAATTTTTCTTCTATAGTATAAACAACAGTGAAGCAAATTTTGCTTAAATGAGTTTGGTTTACCTTTTGGTTGATTGTATTTGTCTTGGTTAATTGCTACCTATGTTGAAAATCATTTTGCTTTTATTTAAGTTGTGAATTAAAAATAGTTGATTATGGATCACATGAATTGATTTATAAACCATCAAAACAATTTGTAATTTCCGTGATAAATATGTGGGGGTTTTTAATCAACAATTTCCAACTACAGTTGGTTAAAGAAATTCTTATCATGGAATAACTTTTCTAGTCTTTTAAGTTAACAGCCATTGCTGACCCATCCTGTGTTTCAGTTTTCTCTCACTTCTCGAAAGCTAGCTCATTTTAATATCATGGGCTTCCTTGTTCCCTTTTTATCTCCCTACTCTCAAGCTTAGCACATGTATTTAGTAAATAAATAAATAATGTTTTGCTTTTCAAAATCAGTGTCTTCCTCTTCCCCTGCTTCAAGCATACATACATATATGCTTCTTGGTCCTGATAATTGCTGTTGCCTTGTTCTTTCTATTTTTGCCGCTGTTTTTGCATTCTTTTGCTGTAGATTATATCCATACTCACTGTCTCTATTTCCTTATTGCTTATTGCCATAGACAGTAATCACTGAGACTGAAAAACAAATATGGCATCTTTGGACTAATGTGACAGCCCTGTAGAAGTGCCCATGGTCTATCCCCATAGAAGATACATATTTGTGGAGAGAACAGGATTATAGCAAGAGTTCAAGGAGGCTTCTTCATTCACACAGGCAAAAGCTCTGACAGTTGATAAGCTTCCTAAAGCAGCAAAGACCAAGCAGATAGAAGCAATGGCTCTTAAGGAATGGTTATAATTAAGGAAGAGAAGGACAATGGATACAAAGGTTGGAGGGATGTAAAACCAGTAATGATAGCACATCTTAGAATTCTTCATTTTTAGGGTGTTTGACTCAAAAAAGTTCACAAAGATCCTCTCTGGTATTTGGGTATGGCAAAGCTTCCAGGGTCCTGGAGCTTCCCCTTATTTTATTCGCTTTTTCCTTCTCCATTTATTAACTCCCTATAAAAGGCCAAAATGACAGTCGACTACCTGAGGAAAAAGAGGATTGCTTTTTTTCCCCAAGTCTTGTACCTGTGTGTGCATGTTCATGGACAAGACAGAAAACCACCATGACCCACAACTAGGTGTGCACATATACAGAGGGAAAAGTAATCTAGAAGAAAATGGGCAGCAGGGGCCATAGGAAAGGAACCACAGATCACTGATAACCAATTTATTGTAAAGATTTCCCAAATAGTAGCTTTGTCACAATGTCATTATTAAATTCTTTGGTCTTTCCATTTTTCAGGTTTTCTTTTAGATGTTGGACATGTTTATAGACAACTTTTAGCTTGAAAACGTCCCTATCCTAAATAGGTTCATTTCCTTTCTTGCCAGTTTATTTGTTCAATTGTTTATTTCTACTTCTGTTGATCGAGCAAGAACAATTACCTTTTTATCTCTCTGTCCTAGGACCTAACATTGTTTTATGCTCAATATTATTTAGATGTATGAATATGTGGGCAGGTAGATAGATGAATTTTAAAGAAGCTTTTCTATTTTAGGAAATTTTAATTTTAATTGGAATGATAAATCTAAATTTCTTTTAGATTGATGAACAGTAATGTACTAATTCTTTTTGTGTTCCTAGAACCATAAAGTCATCACAGTTACCAGAAATTCTCTCACTTTTCTAGGAAAAGATTATAGGTTAAAATTTGACTGACTTTAAATAAAATGCCATACATGGTATCTTCCTGTTCCTCAGTGTGACCCAAAATAGCCACTCAATGTGATTGTAAGAAAACCGTATCTCTTAGAACCTAATAAACAGAGTAGTGGTTTTCCAACTGTCTTCTTAAGGAAGACTGTTATTTGACAAGCTGGACTAAATTTTCTCATATAAGGGGGAAAATTAATGAATAGTCTTCTCAGATTTAAACATTTCCTCCCATTAATTTCCCATAAATTTCAGTATCAGTTCATGCTTTTCTTTGCAGAATCTGGTATCACTTAGAATCTAATTTAATACAAAATTTAGACATTTAGGTATCAAGGTGACTAAATCAGTGTTATGAGGGGCTTTACATCCAAAAACATTTTAAAACTACTGCATTGAGACACTTACCTCCCTTCCTAGGTGCTTAGAGGGAGACATTACCAAGGAGTGACTGCTTAATAGGTTTGCGGTGATGAAAATGTTTTGGAACTAGATAGAGGTAATAGTTGTACAACATTGTGAGTACACTAAATGCCAGTTATGAGAATAAAAATGAGCACTCACAGGTTAAATTAGAAATATACAGTTGGATGAAAACATTTCTATTTTCAATAAAAACAATGAGACTTTAAGCAAATGTTTCTTGAATCCTTTTTTGAGTAGTATCTAGGTAAGTTTTAAACAGTTGGGTAGGTTGGTCTGTACATCAGTTGTGCCTGCATACAGACTGCACACACATTTTCTGCTGTTAACACCTTCACCCTCAATTCCTGTAGTTAAGTACTGCCAAAGTAGGATGACATATTTAGGTCAATGAATGGTGGAGGCATATCTTACTAATATGCCTACTGTCAAACTATTGGTACTACTTTTCCCCAAAATACATTTCATTCTTGGGAATATCTTAATTTTTGCAGATACGTGCCTTTGTTATGTATCACAGTATTTCTGTGGGCTTCGTCTGTAAGTTGATTACTAGCTCATTTATTTAGTTAGAGATACAGGTTTGTCATATCTTTTTTCCTGCTAAACTGGTATTTTAATTTAGTTTCTTACATAGTTTGCTACCAGAAAAAAGTTTTACATACAGAATAAAGAGTGGGCTGTAATCTTTTGTCTTACCTTCTCTAGAACTTTCAAGTAATCCACCTCTGGCTACCATCCTTATTCCTCCTCATGCTCGGATTCAAGCAGCTGCTTCAACTCCTACAAATGCCACAGCAGCCTCAGGTGAGGAAACATAAGTCTCTCCTATAAAAACATTCTCTTAAAAAAAAAAAAACCATTATCTCCATTTTATGGGGTGAATATGGATATTTTATTTCTTTTAAAGTTTCACAAGCATAGTACAGCCAAATAAACAAAAGTGAATAAAATACTGCTTTATTTCTAAAACGCAAAAAACAAAAGCACTCCATAAATACTGTGTATGCTTTATATAGTCCTATAAATATTTATTTATGTAAGTTGTAAATACCCTAATGTCTTGGTTAATATGTGTCAAATAAGATGTTTATAGCAGAAGACAATCTGTGTAAATGGAAGATATTTCCCTTTATTGCTGTCCCCCTGGTTGTAAATTATATTAGCATACTGAAGAGGCATAATTTGAAGATACATGAAGTACAATTTGATATGATAATCATTTGAAAGGGTTAAAAGTGCGATGAAAATATACTTAACTTTTAAATCAGAATGTGACTAGACTATCTCATGTATATATACACACTTACATGGCATACGCACACACACAGACACACACACAC